AAGTTTTTTATATGCATATTTCTAAAAACTAGAAAAAGGCGAAACAGGTTTACGGCAAGTGTGAAAGTTTTTAAATGTAAGTATTTTTTAAATACTAACGATAATATCAAATGAATGGTGCATGTTCTCAACTTTATTAGGCAAATGTTTAATTAATTTAATAACGAATTTTTGTGCAAACTTTACCTTTCATTCATTCAAAGCTCTATAATAAACACAATACAAAAAGCTGCGCTGTACTCACCAAGTTTACGGTGTTTTAATCTCTGGAAGTTTTTTATATGCATATTTCTAAAAACTAGAAAAAGGCGAAACAGGTTTACGGCAAGTGTGAAAGTTTTTAAATGTAAGTATTTTTTAAATACCACCGATAATAATATTAAATGAATGGTGCATGTTCTCAACTTTATTAGGTAAATGTTTAATTAATTTAATAACGAATTTTTGTGTAAACTTTACCTTTTATTTATTAAAAATTCTATAATAAACACATTACAAAAAGCTGCGCTGTACTCACCAAGTTTACCGTGTTTTAATCTCTGTAAGTTTTTTATATGCATATTTCATTTTTTATCGTGATATCATTACGAAGTGGGGCGAGGAACCAACTTTCTCTTTTTAGTAAGCTCGTAACTGTTCTGTCGTGAATGAATTTTTATCGGTTGTTGTTTATGTGTATTCCATACGTAATAGTGTGTTATTTAATTCAAGAAAATTGTGGTTATTTGTGTTGAAGTTCATGGTGGCTATTTCTTCCCAACCACATTCTTACGTTACATGTAAGTACATGATAAATATCCCATTTAGAACCTACTGAATATTAAGATCACAAGGATTTTGATAACAAAACTGTGTATTCACAGTTAAATTGTGTTTTATAGAGATGTTGTCTGTCTTTCATATTAAGCAAATTCTTTTGTTTATTTTGGATTACTTTCAAATAACCTTTGTATATGTTGTAATTGTAAAAACAAATTCCAGACAAGCGCAACTTTGATTGAACAGCTGAGAGTTGCGTATTTTATCAAATATTCTGTTTAAAACTTTATTAGAGTCGGTAATGGAGATAATTAAATATACCGTTAGATTACATTTTCAGCAATATTTTCGTATACATGAATAAAAAGAACATTTTTCTTCAATCCACTTATTTAATTTAACATTATTCCATAAACCTATAAGTATTTTTACTTATGATAAATATGTTTGTTTGGTATGCCATAGCCATAAGTTGTCAGAATTACTTTAAGGCAAGGAAATATCTTTATTATAATAGTGCATTTCAAATATAACTCATGATAAGAATGTCGAATTTCTCAACTACAGTATCTAATAGTTTTCAAGAAAAGGGCTGTGGCAGGGTTTATCAAATAAAAGAACTAAATATCTCAAACCCCAATGCCAAAACATTACACTAAGCGATCGAAGTAGCAAAGTCACCTTCTTCAGGCACTGAAAAGAAATAACCTATAAGCTTTTTTGTATAATCCATAAATTTGCAGAAAAGAGTAAACAAACGTAAAGTTGTGGGTATTTATGTAGATAGGGTAGTGAGGTGTTGTAAATTTATCTTTACTTTTACTTCCGGTAACGTTGAAGAATTAAGAGTAGGGTTGAATATGCGATCAAATATATTTCTGTGTTTTTTAAAATATCGCTGTGGAATCCCGTGGGAGAGCAAACTTATACGCCATTAAGAATATTGAACGTACGTCTTTCACATAAGCTGTACAATAAATGATATCTACGAACGTTTTTGTTTACTAGTTTGTAAAATTCTTTTCCAACAAGTTAGTTCTTTTGCTGTATGAAAATCCCAAAAGAGGAATGCCAATTAACTTTATATTACGCTTTTCTATGACGTATGACACCGGGCAAGATTTTATATTTTACATATGAAATTGTGTCATTTTTGGTATATTATTAAGTATTGGTTATTATGCTATATTTTTATACCGTTGATTGGGGATTTTTAGTTTTAGCAAGAAAATGTATAATTAGGAGCAGATAACTATCGATAATTGCTCATAATTATCGACATATTGATAACAACATTAGCAACTGATAACTATCAATATAATTCATAACTATCGACATCTACATCGATAGTTGTGGATATATCAATTTATTATCGATAACAATAAGCAACTTATAATTATCGATATGTATGTAGGTCCATCATTTTTAATTTATAGTAGGTATTGCTTCTAAAAAAATCCGTATAAAGTGTGTAACTGTTTAGTTTTTTACTAATTTTTTGATAGAAAATGTGTAATTTCAAAAACATTTAAAAAAAATCCATAACTACAATCATATCAATATTAAGGTGTTTCAAAAAATTGACTAGGTAGTTTATTTTTTTCGAAGAACATTGGAAAAACAATAGAGTATCCCTAGACGTACTCCATGACGTGTTGCTTGCAGTTTCCCTCTTATATAGGTAGAGGGTTTTTAAAGTAGTATGTAACATGCCGTTAAATTTAGTAACGTCCCCAATAAAGTGTCTCCATCATAAAACTCAGGTCAACAAGTTTTATGATCGATTACGAAAATCTGCCAGTTTTATCAGAAAACATTTCCAAATGTCAGTGGGTAGAAAAGGGAAAACTAAAAACAACTAACAAATTAAAAACAAATAATGGGGAAAAAGGGAATAAAGTAATGTTCTACTTGAAGTCTACTAATTTTATGCCAAGGTTTAAGGAAGGAAGTGTGTGTTTTTAAGAGTATATGCGCGTGTGTATGTTAAGTGAAGACAGTAACACACCTCATTCACGAGATACCGTCTAATCAACAACCAGCACGAGATGGATTTCGACTTTATGCGTGCTTAACAATTGCAAATGCCCCGGAAAATAAAGGCACACGTAGCAGCTCTTTAAAAGGTGCTTGCACAACGCTTTTTACCATTACGTTACAAGAAAACACAAAGGAAATGAAAATTGTCGAGGGAATCTGCCAAGGTGTTTGCTATGAAAAGAAACTTTTTTGCGACGGACATGGAGGAAATTCTTTTTGAACTCTTGCCATCCAGCACACAGTTTCAGTCATTACATACATATACACATAAATACCTACCAACAATACGAACAAGTCGTGGGTGGTGTGTCTCCTGTAGCCCACTGGGTACTTGGCGAAACATGATAAATAATATACGTAATACGAGTTTCTCAAAGGAAAACTGCTAGGTAAATGATCTCTAGCAATTGTTTCGACTGTTATGTCATTACCAAGGGTATCATTCATGTTCTATTTGATAATGACAGAGAAGCCGAAACAATTGCTTCGGCACTTAGTGAAAAATTATGTGTGAACAAATATGATAATAATAGTAAAACACTTTGCAATTTTCATGAAGAGAAATTGTTTCGGTTATTATTATGCCACTACCTATTACCAACAGTATACTTCATCTACTTTTTGATAACGCATAATATTGCTGCTAGTGTTTGAAGATGTAACATGTTTTTGGAGTACATTTTCTTCAGTAATATCTTCGCTCATCGAAAGCGTTGCTAATATAAATATTATACCTAACTAACACAAGTAGAATTAAATAAAATTACATCAGAATTTCTAGTATTTGGAAAATATATGGATTAATTCGTTTTATTACTGTACTGTGTCAAGTTTCAAATTTTTGCAAGTAAGAACGAACATTATATGTAAAGTTGTTGAATAGATTCGACCTTTACTTGATGAAAATCTATATCAATGAATAAAATAAGCCACCAAGATTTTCACAAGTAACAACTGTTTCGCCAATCTTGGCTTCCTCAGACTTCGAGTACTTGCTACTAATATTACAAAGTATTGTAGGTGTTTATACACAGTGTTACTGGGAGTAGTTCAAAACAAATTTAGAACTAAGGAATTATTACGTTCGGTTTGGTCATTTAGTAATACACTTAATTTTTTATAATTATTAATTTCTAAATTTTCAAGAAAAATAAGTATTTTCGTTTATTTTCTAAATGTAAAATATCATAAAATAGATATCCTTCCTCCCTAACGTGATTGGCGTAAGTAGAATCTATTATTTTTTTGATGTAACTATTTTTATGCTCACTTAATCTTTTTTTAAAATTTCTACCTGTTTGTCCTATATTAAAAACTTTTTGGCACATGTTAACATATAAACACCTGACTTATTTTCAATATTTAATTTATCTTTATTATTTTCTATAAGTTTGCCTAAAGAAAAATTAGTTTTGTAAGCAATATTCAGTTGTTACTTGTGAAATAAAAGTTTGTGAAAATCTTGGTGTCTTATGTTATTAATTCATATGTAAAGTTGGTTTAAATGCAAATTATACTTAACAATATAATATTCAAACTCCCATTTGTGTGTGCTTACACTAGAGAAAAAAGAAAAACCAGAATACTTCACTAGACAGAGATGGAGCCGGGTGTTTTAAATCAACGAGAACACTTTCATTCTCTTTGCGGTTCGCAATTGACATTGTGGTCGCAACCCCATTCCGGAAATACTCACCAAGAGTTTTTTGCAAAATGTAAAAATACAAAGTCGTCTAGAAAGCGATGTAATACCTTTAAAAATGGTAAAAGTGTCACGAAGTTTGTGGCGGTGGCTTTGCAATTTGCAAACACAGACCCAAATGAGGGTAGCTATAAAAGAGTCGGGTCTAGAGAAATTAACCGAAAACAGACCATACAATAAACAATTTACTGAATCATAATGAATGCAACAAATATTTATCTGTATAATAAAATATATTGTAGGTTGATGTTTTTGCTTGATTTGAAAATCAAGCTTTTTAAAACTCGCCTATTTCAGTTGACTTGGTTTTCCATTTTCGCAAATTTACTTGACTTGATATCGAGCAATTTCAAGTTACTGGATATCGACCCGAATCGATATGTATTACGCGCGAATTTTATATGCAATTATAAAATCTTGGACATTGCCAATCTTTGAAGCGATACAGAAAACATTTGCTAGAGAAATGCAATTAAAAAATTGCTTTCACCATACGTGATTCTTTCAGAATTCAATTTCAATGTAAAGGAGTTTTATGAAATTATCGAACTCTTCATTGATGATATAGGTTCATTACCTACCTGGCAAAATCAGTGCACTATATATACATAGGTAATTAACTACAACCAAGGGCATTTCTACAATTAGCCGAATAATCTATAATCGAAGTTCATTGCTCGTATGTTTACCGTTTAACTTCAGTAAATAGAGCTATTTCGGTTCATTAGCTAAAGGAAGACAAAGAAACAACAATTAGAAATCAAAGATAACTACACAGATACAAGCATTACTGAATTATATTTCAAGGAATATGGACCTTTGGGAATTAAAATCTTTAAAATTACTTTTAATTAAAAAACAATTTATTGTTAAATGTCGCATCCTAGGAAGGATCCTCGTGAACTTACCTTTCAGTTGGGCACCGTGGGTAGGTTGATCGCTCTGCAAGAGCCACAAAACCTTGTTTGTAGATATTTAAGACAATAAGGTTATAATAAGAAAAGGCAGGACGAACGAAGTGAGTGTTACCGTGTTCATGTCCTTTGATGGGTAGTTTTGATCTACAAAAACATTTGTAGTATTTCCGGAAGGATTTTGACATCATAAGGTGATGGGATATGACGATTTTTGTGAAAATAATTTTAATTAGGATTTCGTTATTATAAAGAACAGTTTGAATTGGATTAGGGGAACAGAGTCAGAATAGGGACCGGTCTAGGGTTTCGCGTCAAAACCGGATTTAGTTTAAAAGCACAAGGATGCAGTTCACAGAGTCGA